AAAATAGCAGTTGGCCTTGCTATTAGACAAAAATGTAACTTTTCTAATGTATATTTTGATGCAAATAAAATTGAATGAAATTTCAATTCTTTATTCCCTCACAACAAATTCAACAAAATATGAAAGTGAATAATATATTTTTTGCAATCAGCTCTAAAATCATTTCAAATTAAATTTTCAATTCTACCCTTCAAAAAAAATAAGTAAGAATAATTTTTTTTCTCAAAATGTTACCATAAACGGGAAATATATTGTATATATTGTACAGTCGAAGCTCCTCACGCAATTTTAAATTGAGGAACCGAAAACTTTTAAAAGCAGATTGGCAAGAAAATTCCTCTGACTGGAGATTCGCAATGATTTTAAGGAAGTAGGTGTTGTTAGTCTTCTAGACCAACAATTATGACAAATCAAAATGATAAAAATTGAGGTTTTGCAAATCGTTTATATTACATCATAATACTTAAAATGGTAGCATTGAAAATTATTGCAAAAAATATATTTGAAAAAAATTATTATAAATGCAATGTGTCAAATTGTTGCATTCAATTTTTTGAAAACAAAACGGCACCACCACTAGCAAGAATTTTTCTCAATTTGAATTAAATTATAATTTTGAATGTAAAAGTATTCTCCATTTCTCTTGAACTATTTTTTCATTACTGTATAGCGATGAGCTTTTGATATTTAAAAAAAATTGAGGAAGTGAAACAATCAAAGCCGTCAGGTGTGACGATGTATGTAATTTTTGATTCGCGGCCAAAAAGGAGCGCTCGCTTTCTATAAATGGAGAAAATAAGCTGCAGAGAAAGAAAGGTGGCACAGGAAGAGTTCAGCGAGCGCAGTGCCCTCAGCAGTATAATAAAGATGAGCTTCCCAATTTGACCTGCGACCTGGCCTCGTAACCTGCATTAACAAAGGACTGTGAGCCGAATCGCAGATTGTTCGTTCGCTCACGTGAAAAGCCACATTATGCTGCACGCAAACATGCGTCCGCCAGCAAATAACATACAATGTGTGACGTGTTCGCTTGTAATTAATTCCACGGAGCACACTTTGCCATAAATTATTCCCGAACAGCCACTAAATAGGAAGTTTCAGATGCGCCATAATGAGAGATTTAGCATGCAGAGTGCTTTGGATATTTGTACGGCTACTTTATTTGAGCAGAGTGCAAAAAAAATTCACTTTCGAAAGCAAAGATTAGTGATAAAATTGCTTCAATTTGCAATTAATTTTCCATAAAATGTCAGCACAACCTTACTTTTTCATCATAATTTTATGAAAGTTTACTTGCTCAGCTTATGTGATTTAAATTTATAACGTAACTGAATTTGGTCATTGCAATAAAATAAAATACTGCAATTATCCATAATAAAGATTCCAGATAAACGGCCAAATCATGAAAATGATTTCACTTTAATAGATAATAATGAATAATAATGCAATAATTTTCATTTTAATAATTAATAATTATTGCACATTTTATTTAGAGATATTTTAACATTGCATTGTGACGTTTTTTATTCTAATCAGAGTCTTATATTTAGGATCACTTAACAAAATTATCAAACAAAAACATTTTTTTACATAAATTCATTCAAGTAAATTTTAGTTGGTGTTTATGATTCTCTTCCTCGCTCTTTCCCAAAACATTTTTTTTTTCATTCTTCATTGAATTGAGCAAACTGAATATTTAGTTTTGTATTAATTAAGCAACAAAACAGAAAATCGCTAATTTTTGTCCTTAATCCAGGTGGGTCTCTCTTCTGAACTGTGGTTTCCCTCGTATAGCAGGTTGAATTCGGCCCACTTGGCGCACCAGCCGGCTGGCTGAAAGCAAGAATGAAAAGAAACAAGAAAGAAAGAAAGGTCGATAGTCAAGTGAATAACCGTTGGTCCGAAAACGTCTGCGGGCCATTCGCCGGCGCGGAGAGTCCCATATGAGCCGCCGGATTTGCATAAAAAGCAGCCTGGTGTAGGAGACCAAACTGCAAATAAATTACCGTGCAAAAAGTCCGGCAAGGTCACGGGCGAATCCACGCCAAATATCATTTCTTATACACGCACACAAGGTCATTTTGTACACTTTTTCTATTCTCTTTCGGAACAGGATTTCTGCTTCTTTTCATTGCCGAGAGCAAACGCCCTCATTGCCCCCGCTGCCGTCGACCTAAGAAAAAAAAAACCCGGCAACTTGAGACCTAACTTTTCTCTCTCGGCAGCTCGCTCGCGTGTGCTCATACCTGTGTCTGTGTGTTTATTGAAATAAATTAATGACCATAGCCGTACATCTTTAAGCTCCATTAAACAAATTAAATAAATTTCACGTGTAACCGTTGAATTGTCAGCAGCACGTGCATCGGTGTTATTATTTTCTTAATGAATGATGAATACGATCAAGGAGTTAGTAGGTCTCTTATATTCTCCTTCCTATCCCCAAAGCGACGAAGATTCGCCGTTAGTACTCTCGAGCTTGTAAATATGTTTGTGTCTCTCTTTCTTTTTATAAAAGTGTATTCATGCGCAGCCTCCCACTGACTGGTCCATACAGGTGTGTGTGTGGTGAGGAGTCGGTTGGTCGACCGACGCTCAATGCGTGTCCTTCCTTTGACTCTTGCAACTTGCCCTACTTTGCATCTATTTCAGCGAAAATTTCGAGATATAAATTAAAATCGCAATTAACTTTTTGCATTAAAATTAGTTTCAAATAAATAAATAAATTGGTTCTGAGTGATAAATCAAATAATTGTCATATATTTTGCATCATAATGGTCGATAATTAGTAAATTTGTGCAAAATGAAATTATAATATGCCAAATATTGTGGAGGTGATATTATTCAGCGTGTCTAAAATTCAATGGAAATGAATGACCATAATAATTAATTAATTATGTAATTAATTAATTTAACGAAACATTTTTGGGCCAGTATTTTAAACATAAATATACTCAATTATCACCACTCTTATTATATTATTTTGCTAAAAATCTAAACTTTCAACTTGAGAAGCAATGAATTCATTTGCTAATTTTTATTATTATTTTTGAAAGCAACTTTCAATATTTGTTTTGAAAATTAAAAACGCCGTTGATTAATTCCATTTACTGTGTTTATAATTTATAAATTTGAATGATTCCATTCAAGTCCTCTCCCCATTAAATCACAAAAAGCACCTAACTGTAAACTAATTGCAAAACCCAGAGGAGGATGTGTCCGTAAAAATCCACTTTCGCAGGCTCGTTCGCTTTTTTTTTTTTTAATTAAAGGCATCGCGCGATTATGTTAATCTGCAGCATAATTATAATTGTGCGCCGCCGCTTCAGTCGGTATAAATAAAAAGAAAAAAAACTCGTGTTGCTGTTTCTCTCACGAAAACACGCGGAACTGTCGGCGACTGGGCATTCATTAACAAGCCCGTAAATGAGAGAGACTTTGTGCCGAGAGAGTCAAATGGCACGTTGTTTCTGATCATTAAAATTTCCCGCACGTCGTGTAATGATAAGGGAGTGAAAGATTAACTAAGCGGCCGTTTTTTCGCTCTCCGTCCATCCAACCGTCGCCGCCGATTTCATTGATGAGAGCGGCCTGAGAGGGAGAGAGGAAAAAAAATACAAAACACGACACGGTGTCCTTGAGTGACATGTTCCTGGGCGAAACGAGCCTTATGAGCCGCAAAAAGTGTCCACCGGCCGGTCCATCGGCAAATTCGGCACACCAACGTGAAAATCGCGTTTGCCGCGCTTTTTACCTAGATGATGCGTCAAGTGGAAAAATTTCTCCAATCGAACTTAAAATTATTCCAAAATTTAACTCGTTTTAATTCTCGTTTATGTAAATCAAATAAGTTTTGCAAATTTCAGCCACTTGTGAATTATTGCCTTTCAATCAATACACCTGGGTTTTAATTAACATTTAAATTTTTATTTTATAAATTTCAAGAGTTAAATAAAAAAGCTAGTTTGAGTTAAGAATTCGGCACTTGAGGAGACGTATTTAGCAGTGATGAAGAAAAATAAAATTCAAGGAGGAAAAAGCTTGTTTTTCATATAAAATGCTAAAATTAAAATTCCATACTAGTTCGAGCAAATACAATTATTCAACTAAATGCTCAATCAGAATTAGGAGAATTGTTCATAAATGAAATTTAAAAGAGAAAAAAACAGTATAACTTAAAATAACTTTATAACAATTCCGAACAATTCAATCAACGTTTAATCAGATAGAAAACTGAATTTTATATAAAGTGACGGAAATTATTGTTGGGTTGCAAACTAGAGATAGTCTAATCTGATTATAATTAAAATTCATGATTGGAAAAAAGATCGATATAAAATTTATTAAATACATTAATTAGTTAAAATAAAATTAGAAAGTTGAATGACCTTTGCAACTAAGGTTTTTTATATTTCTAATTGATGCAACCATCTGGTTGTGATATTTTTACAAAAATATTTCATTTTTATCATTTCACAGAAAATTAATATAATATACTCTTACTTTTTGCCTCTTTCGCCCATTTCTTGGAAACCCAACAAACATGTCTTTGATCTAATTTTCCGTTTTCCTGCTGTGAAACCAGTAGGATTATTTCTGATTGTTCGCATGCTTGAAATGAAATTCCGCCTTTCGCGGTGCGGCTTTTTAATAAACGGAGAGAAAAAGCGGCCGAACGCGTCCTTTGCCAAAACGAGCCGGGCTTTCATTGACTGCCGGTCGAGAAGCGTGCAGAATACATGGCTGAAATATTTATTAAACTCGGCGTGCACGGCGAAACAAATAAATACACGCGCGTCATTTTTTAATTCCTGCCGATGCGAATTAGTGATTCGGCACACATCGCAACTCTCCATTTCGTCTCGACTTTTTCTTCCTCGTTTGTTTTTTTTTTTACTCCCTCGGGCTGTCATGACTTTTATCCGTGCAAGTTTTTCTTCTTGTGCCCGTCAAAAGATGAGATTTTCAATAACTGATGTTTCGTGCACGTGTGTTTGTTTCAGGGAAAAGTGATCATCAGACCGGTGGCCTGCAGACCAACCCCCAGCCCTGGCGCCAGGTTGCTCGGCGGCAGGATAGGTGAGCGCTATGGCTCCACTCCAAGTCTAGTGCATAGACCTGGATCCAGACTTGCATTGTATGGAAGTAAGTGCAGTAATTTAAATATTATTTTTATAAAGATATAACAAATAAAGAATAAAAAATATTTTGTAAAAAAAAATTTATGCTAAAATTATTTTTTTAAGATTATGTATGTAAGTTATTTATTGTTAGTTATAAAGTTTTTTAAATTATTACAAATTAACAAGTATTAAATTTTAACTTTAATTATTTTATTATTTAAAAATTTTAAATTTTAAATTTATAACTTATTACTTAATTTATAAACTTTCAACATCAATTAAATCCTAATTGATTTTTCAACTCATAATAAGGCAAATTTTGTTTTTATCGATTACTTAAAATAGTCATTTTGCAGATAAAATTTAAGTAATAATTAATAATTGATGTACTTATGCATTATTGCATTACAAACAGTCCAAAGTGCCTTCAACTGACCACTTTAATTGGAAACTAATCGCATTTTAATATGACTCACTAGGCAGCAATGACCTACGGCCCTACAGCGGAAGCACAGTGACCAACTACAACTCGCTCGACCGCAAACTGACTTCGGCCAGCTCAGGTCGTTTCGACGTCATGAGTCCGCCGTCACGCCGCGTCGGCCTCTACCTTTGCGACCCCTCGTCAAATACCTGCACCTCTCTGCCACCCGTGCCGCCGCCACCGATTCCCCATGACAGCGGTAACTAATTTTTTTCATCCCCCTATAATTAACGAGGAGCTTAGGGTGAACCGTTCCCCATATGATCGATGTAAATTTTAGATGTTCATTTTATTTTTAGTCAACTTGATTGGGGTGATTGATATGAAATTAGTTTGTTTACATTTTTATCTGTTTTGATCTGAAAAGTTTGGAGAAAAAAATTATTGTATTAAATTCCATCTTATTTTTCCAAATAATTCAGGTCTCCCAGTAAATTCATCTTTCCTTTTAGAATCGACATCTAAAAACCGACGCTTTTATAGTTTCTGTGAATACAAGAGAAATTGTTCTTAAGTTTTTTCGCCTCTGATTTTCTCAGGAAGCAGCAGTAGGGGCAGTTTACCACCCTCGCCGGAGGGTTCGGACACTGGAGAACTGGAGCTCGCGTTGCGGGAGCGAGACGCCGAAATCGGACAGCTGAGGGACACCCTGGAGCGCAACGAAGCGGCCATTTTCACTGTTTACGAGGAGAAGGAACGCGCCTGGGAAAGGGAGCTCAGGAAATTGCGGGCGCTGTACGAAACGCGCCTCAGGGCGAGCCAGCAGAAGTCCCTGAGGGTTGAGCAGACCCTCGCCTCGCACACCTACCAGGTAATTCTTTTTTTTCTTTGCAAAGTGTAATTAAAAAAAAAAAAAAACATTCTAATTTCACAAAAGTATTTTAGACTTTTGGAATTAAATTAAAAAAGTGTTTGATAAAATTTTTCTTCTAAAAGGAAATTTTGAATTTATAACATTTCTTGCTGAAATTGGTATGCGAAAGTCTGTGTATTTTAATTACTTTTATTATATATTTTATTTTAAAAATACTTTTTACGTGTACTTTTTTATATTTATATATTATTTATATTTTTTATTCATAAATGAAACTCAATTTGTCCATATTAAGTTACAACAAGAAATTCGGCGGTTGAAACAAGACCTCAATGCGGCGAATGTTGAAAATCAGAACAATTCTTCACTCGTGAGCGAGCTGCGCCAAGAACTTGCCGTCCTCAGGACCAGACTTGACGACACTGAATGGGGTTTGTGCCACAAGTCGGGCGAACTGGCCCTCATCAAGGCCCAACTCAAAGACTCTCAGGTCAGTTACCGACATAAGTCGGCAGGTGTTTAAAATTAATCATGAAGGAAAAGAGCGCCTGCTATACTCTGAGTATGCAACCTGCACAAACTCAGAGACGTGCAGGTTGCAGAAGTAACAAAAAGCTTCTTCAATTTAAATTTTTTGGTATTACAAATTTAGTTTATTGCAAACCAAAATAAAAATAAGTTGCAAGTAAGGGGTTTGCATATTATTATACTGACTGATTATTTAATTGTTTAATAAATTCTATTTTATTTATATTATTAATGGGTAATTGTTCAATAATATCTATTGTTTAAATTAATACTATTGCTAATTGTTTAATAATTATATTGGTTGGGGTATTCTGTTAAAACAAATTGGGTCAGCTTACAAACGGGCTTTATTTAACACAACAATTCTGGCAGAATGGTAAATTTCACTGACTCGAAATTGTTAGTTTAATGTCTCTTGGAAAATAAACAAATGGGAGCGGTGTTCCCTGGGTAGGCCGGCTGGCTGCCCAGGAAACGTCCTTGCTGGACACCCGGCGGCTCCCTGCAGGTCGGCGGCGGCTCTCGGCGCGGCCGGGGCCCACGGCGTGCTGGTCTCTGGCGGCGGACGTTCGTACGCCTTCGTCCGAACGCTCGCTGGCGGTGTGCCACGTCGGCGCCCGAATCCTCGGACAGGAAGGAGCTGGGGACAAAAACAATGGGTCACTCGGCTGTACTTCCGTCCCACGTAGTGGTTTGACCTTTCGGCCAAAAGAAGGCCTCAGGGAGAGACTAATTGGAATCTCTCTTACCTGGCAAAGCTGCTCCGTATGGCTTCGGACGGCTCAGCCGCATCCGGGACAGTACGAGGGACACTGATGGTGTGTCTCTCGAGGGGCTCGGGACGCGGTCGGCCTTCCGGCTGTTCTCGGACGAGACAGCGCCGGGACAGGACAGCGGTCGGCGCCGTGGGACAGCTCGGACGGGTGCGAAGGGATCGGACGGGCGTCCGAAACTGCACTGGGTGTCCAGGTGTCCTGCGAACAGAGAGCAAAGGGTTAATGCTCTCCGTCAGCTGGCTCGAGTGTCGAAGCTTTACCTCTGATTTCTCTGAGGTCTGTCAGCCTTCTGCATCGAGCCAGCGGACGGAGCGCCTTTTATAGCGCGGGTAGCAGCCCTGGGAGGGTCGTGCAAAACCCACCCACCCATTTGATTTACATTGAGAACTTTCTAGATGCATCTAGAAAGTTCTGTGAATCTGCAGTTGAATTCTAAAATGCCTTTATAAATTCCCTTGAAGTGAATTGGAATCCCATGAATTGTACAAGCTAATTCCAATTGAATTTATAATAATTATTTGTAAATTTAAAGCTACTTTAAATTTAAAATAAATACAAGATTTATTTGTAAGAATTCAACTTAAAACAATTGCCAGAAATTAAAAAAGAATAATTAAAAAGAAAGCCCTTAAAAAATGAATTTAATTGTAAGCCGAAAATTAATTGAATAATAATAAAAAAAACAATGAAGTTCTCCGATGACACAGCCACAGTCAAAACAAACAAATTAAGAGAGGACTAAAATAATTATTCCACACCATTTTTAAATGTACAACAGAAATAATATTGATTGATTTAATACAAATATGGAACCACTGCCCTTTTTTACGTACTTCACGGCGTTTGACTATATTTTTATGTAAAGATTATTGAAATTTGTATTAAATTTTAGGGTGAACAAGCTAATAGAAGTCATGATCTGATCAATCTCCGGGCCGAGTTAAGAGACACAAACGCCAAACTGGAAGCCAGTGAGAAAAAAGCCGAGCAACGTCTTGCTCAGGAACGAGCCGCTTTTCAGGAAGAACGCCTCACATGGCTTAGGGAAAAAGAGCAGGTAAATAATATAATTTTTCATAACACCTAATTTTTTTTTTGGCAAAAAAAGCGTCTTAAATTGATTTGGAAATGAAAGAAGGCACCAATTATAATGCCTTACCCTTTGCTCAGGTTCTCCACTACCAGCGAAGGTTGCAGCTCAACTATGTTCACATGTACCGCCGCACTCGCACCCTGGAAAACCAGCTCGAAGGTCTCAACATCAAAAGCCCAATCAGCAACTCGGTGCTCGACGACGAGAACCCAAAGGCTGTGCTTTTGAAGCCTGTTGCGAGAAAAACTTTGACCCCTACCAATTCAACTACTCTCGTACCTGCCCTCGATAATCACACTATTGAGCTGTAGTGAAAAATAATTTCAGTATTTTTCTTGATTCTTTTACTGATGCTGTTAATATTTGTGCCTATTTTTAAAATGTAAATATCCATTTAAAATATTAATTCTATATCCTGACTTAACAAAAACAACTTTTGTGAATATAATTATTAATTGTATAAATATTTTTATAATTTGATCCACCACTGACGAAGAAGAGCTTGTTCTTGCAATTAGTATGTAGCACAAACGCAGCCAACTCCTTTTAATTCTTTGTAGCTACCAAGTAGCAGACGCTTTGTCAAGGAACTGCAAAAATTAATCTCTTAATCTTTTTAATTGCGATCATTTATGTTCACCCTTTTGTAATTTATTTGATTCTTTATTCCTTTATAACTTTAGAAAAAAGTGTATCATGTACTGTTGAGAACAAAAAAAAGTCATAAAAATTTTACCTAAAAACTTATTTTGACGTGGTTTCTTCTTGCTAGGCTTAAATAAATTTACGCAAATACAAATTTTTACTTTTGTTTTGCTTAATTTATTCACATTTTTTAAATTACCAATTGCAATGAATGAAATATACATATTGAACAAAATTATGTATGAAAACCTTCTAATAATTGTTTTATGATAAATAAAATCCTCTATCGAAAAAAAAACGCTCCAAAGTTTATCACCCAAAAATTACTCCTAAGAGTTGCCCAAATAAATAAAAAAGTATTTGATTACTTCCTCTTTCATTTAACAGAAATCTTAAATATAGAAAAAGAGAAGTACATAATATTATATTATAAAAATAAAATTTATAAAAGAAAATAAAATTAAAAAAATTATGGAAGTTTTGTTTGTTAATATTTTAAGAATGGCAGAATGAGGCTCTATAGATAATCGGATATTTATTATAAATTGTAAGGTCCATAATAATCAATAATAGTTATGCACTGATTATAATATTATGCGCTAATAAGGTCTGTAGTTTTTGTCAAGTTGGTAGAATTAAGATATTTTATGTATTTTATCCTATTTTTTGTTTAGGTTGGCTGCACTGCTATGTTTTTGGAGGCAAACAAACGCAAAGCAGCTGGGAGACGCCAAAAGTTCAAAAGTAGGGTTTTTAAATGATAATTCTTCGCTTTTAATTTTGCCCAGAAGTGAAATGTACAACATACTTTCTTGACTTGTAATTTATGACTTAGTTATTTCATTTCCCTTATATAGCAGCTCACGAATCATTTCCACCTCGGAAGGGGTTTTTCACCATCAAAAAGTTGTCGGAAAAGAAAGGAAGCCGACATGGAACGAGAAAAGACAGGTTTGATACTATTTGATATCATAATAATCACATAATTGCTGGTTTATCCAATTAAATTAATCTCTTTCCATTTAAAAATCTACTGTCTGACTTTTTTGCAAATTGACACGTTCGTATTGGCCATAAACACATTCATAATATTCTATCTTAAATTAATTTACTTGTATATTTATATAATTTATGTTGATTTTCTCTGAATCTGAAATTTATTTCAGAATACTTGAAGAGGCTGCGAGTGATTTTTCAAAGGTTCAGCGTGAATGAGTTGGAGACGATCATCTTTGAGCGCTACATTAAAGACTTCAAGTGGGAGGACTTTTTGTCGGCAGCTGCCGAAGATGAAGAAAGGGTCACCATCAAAGCAGCTGCTAATTTTCTGTGCAGCAAGCTCGCTAGATGGTCTCCCCAAGCAGTGGCTGACCTGGCTGAAAGAACGTGGATCACAGGTCTGTGATTGATTTGTTATTACTTTTTTCATTTTTAATTTGACATTTTTTCCAGATGTTTGCTTGCACTCAAAACGCCATCAGTGGACCACATTTGACCTTGCTAATGGCAAAGGGATGGAGGCGGTTCCTCGTTCAGGTGTATTCTTCAAAATTGTGGAAAGGAAGCTGATGAACAGAAACATCGAAGCGGTTCTGGACTTAGTTGGATTATGAGTTTAACTTGATTAATAATTTTCTATTTAGATGGTGCGCGCCCTCAGATCAAGGAACCGCTTCTGGCTGTCTGTCCGCTTGCCAAAGAAGTGTACAAAGAGGCAGCCTACGGTGTTTGAAAAATACCATGTGCCCATCTTCTTTTCCATTCCGTTAGATAAGCCTTTTATGTTCATCATGACCAACAAAGAGAAGGTGGAAGAAGCTGTCTTGAAGGTCAGAATTGTAAAATGATAAATTGTAATTCACTCAATAATAATTTTTCAGGCTGTTGCCTCCGCAGTTGGATACAGAAGTGCCTCCATTCGCCAGTTGAGGGGCAAGCAAATCAGTCAGCTGACTAAGGCCTTAGAATTGCACGAAAACTTTGACCATTTGGCTTTGAACATTGAGGAACCGGAGTGTAAGTTTCTGCTTTTTAAACACAGAATTGCTATTTTTTTAAATGTATGAAAGCGAATAATTAAATAATATGTTTGACTTGGAGAAATTTTAAAAGTGATTTTGATCATATGCAGTCGAGGTAGAAGAATTGTCGAAGGGTGGACTGGACATGACCAACCACGCTGCCAAGAGCAAGTACTTTGATGTACTCCTGACCGAAGATCCTCCTGTGCTGGAATCGCTCAAGTTTGTGGTAAATCAATTAAGTCATTAGTGCTGCAAATCAAATTAATGGCCAAAAATATTTTCAAAGTCGAAGGAGCCATTTCGTCTGGCGAATACTCAAGATGATGGCATTGACTGGAGCAAGATCAAATTTTCTTGCGACGTCACAATCAAGTCCAAGAATGCTTGGGAGACTGTGAGGAAAATGGCCGTGGAGGACGACGTGTGGGATTTCCCACCTCCGAAGTACCTCATCAAGGCCTTCCACTCTGGCAAAGATGTGAACGACTTCGAAGATTCCGATGATGAAGACGATTAATTTAAAACCACTTTAACACTCCAATGAGCAGCAACCTGCTGTGATCTCAAATCTAAGTCTGACAGTCTTAGCATTTAATTTTAAAAAATGATTTGGTAATTTGGGATTATTTTCCAGTGTAAAGACATTTTTTCTGGCCAGGGAAACACGGACATTAACCAAATCCACAATCTGAATAAAAATCTCTTAAAATTGTCACTTTCAAAAGAAGAATTTAAAACTTGACTATTTATAATAAATAAGTCTTACAAATCTTCTCTAAAATCCAATTATGTACATTGTTGTAATAAGTGCCATTGTAAATTTTGTTTGAAGAAAGAGATGATCGTGGAAATGGATGAATCGGGCTTTTTCCTCATTGCAGAAATTTGTTTTTTAATTCAAAAAACAAGTGGCTCTACCAGTTTCCGTCACGGTCTGTGACCCTATTTCATGAGCAAGAAAAATAAAAAAACTAGCAAAATTGAATACATCACATTTTAATATTAAAATTAAAAAAAAAACCAACAAACTTGTTAGTTTTATTTTTAATTTTCATGTTTCTATGTAGTGTTTTTAAATTTAACTGATTTTTTGTATTTTTCTTGCTCATGAAATAGGGTCGCAGACCGTGACCGAAACTGCTAAAGCCACTAATTGTTTTTTGAATAATAAAAAAATTTCTGCAACGAGGAAAAAGCCCGATTGATTCATTTCCATTGTAAATTTTGTAATGATTAAACAGAATAAAAACTATAGGAAAAACAAGAAACCTTCTCATACAAAAAAATATCTCTGGAATTTAAGTAATAAAAAAAGGATAAAGAATGAAAAGTGTTATAATTTCCAAAATTATTGCGACCTCATTGATAAACGACGATGCAAACGCAAACAATTTTTTTTCTTATCCTTTTTCTTGGTCTTTGTCATTGTCTCCTTAAACACTTATTTTAAACTTGATCGTAAAATTGCTGTTGTCAGTCACAATCGTTGATTTTTGAAGAGATGAAAAACTCGGAAAAACTTTTGAATGCGCAGCGCCGCGTTGGCGCCGCAGCACGTGCGCGCGCGATTTAAAGAGCAGGCGCCGATTGCGAAGCCACTCCCCCTTATTTATTTACCATGCGTCACTTGCTGCCTATTTATAAGGGGGCGGCCGCAGTGGCCGCATTTCAGTCAGTTTCTCGCTATGGATGGAAGACTCTACGTCTCAATTGTATGGTGTTTGTCTTGTTTTGTGGTGAGCACGATCAGGTCGTCACCGGTGCACGACTCGAGACCACTCCGTAGGCCGCTCTCAACAAATTACGACGATGAATATCGGACTAATTACGCCGATTACGAGCAAAGTGAGCAGTGGTCGCGACCTCGTCGGCCCAGCACCACTTCGGCGGCCCTCAAGTGAGTACCGAAAATCGCGGGTCCACCTGCCGAGGCCACCTGGGACGGGGGCGGCCCTCGGCACTCCTGCGGTCGCCGCGGCTCGTTGAACTGCGGCGGTTCCATTTAGAAATTCTGGACGAGGGCCAGCCAAACTTTTATTAAAACGCGCGCATGGCACTTTCTGGAAGCGAGTCCTTAATTTTACGTGTCGACACGCACGTGTTGGCGCCATAGCAGAGGCTTAATATTTTCTCCTGTATTTGACAAAAATTATTAATTTAATTCGCCAATCAAAACATGAACACTTCACTTAAAAGTTAAAAATACATCTTTAGGGACAAAGTTCAAAGTTATTATGATTAATTTTTTTTAATATTGTACCTATTGTACTTGAAATCAGCATTTTAAATTTTATTCTGGAGCAGAGTATTTGTACGTAGAAATATTTACTTTTGGATCTTGCACTTTGTTTTTATAATTTTAAATAAATTATTCTTTGATTTTTATTATTATTATTATTGTTTACGTTGTTGAGAATTTTAATTTTTTTATTCAGTTTATCCTAATAATTGCTATTTCCATTACAAGCGTGAGATAAACAGTTAATTACCACACGAAACATAAGAAAAGCACAAATAATTAATATAGGCTCGTGCATTTTAGTTCATCACCTTTTTTTCTACGTCGCTCGGAACGTCATGAAAATGAATTGATTGATTTTATTAAAATTGGCAGCGATTTAAATTGACTACCTCTTCAATTTCCGACTTAAGCGACTAAAAAAGACCAAAATGACAGACTTTTTCAACTTTTTAAGAAATTAATTATATGTTTTTCCAGACTTTCAAACAAAATTTCCGCAAAATTTTGTTATTTTGAAAAGTAAAAAATTCTATTAATTTATTGCAAAAAATATTTTCATACGGATTTCATTTAAAGCAACTGAAAGTAGCACTAATTAAAGCTATTTTTTCATCTTTTCTTTTATAACAAAAAAAGAATATTGGAGGGATGAAAAATTTATATGAAATTGTGTTCAAATCGAAAATTATTATTATGGCTAAATTTTAATTTTCAATTGATTTTACTTTAAAACTGCAACTGTATAAAATTTCAGTTGTGGAAGGATTATTCACGATTAAGGGGTTGCTTCACGTTATATTAATTGAAAATCTGCAGTTCTTGTTTATTCCTATTGAAAACAATTAAAAAGAAATCGCAAAACCCGTCGTTGAACTGCCATTTCGGAATGATTAATTTGCTAATTTTTTGTTGTCGGTGAAAAATGGTTACTTTAGGATCAGTAAACATTTCTGGAGAAACTTAACACGATTATTCAAATCTTTTAATTCCCTGTCTTCAAATACATAATATAATCACCAAATTTAACCCTTTTTCGTACATACAAAGTAATGCTTTAAAATTAAAAACGCAACAATTTTTTGATTTCTTTGCTGCTCGAAGATTATTATTTTTGTGCGATTATCCTCCGCGATTTATAGGCTGCAAATTCTGCATATTTGTGCGCAAATTATTGCAAACACATTTTTTGCGTGCCTCAATAATCGATTGTGCGCCAGCAGCACACTCTGTAGAAAAGCCAATGCCAACGAAACGGAAGCCTTATCAATTCCCTCGTGTGTGGATGTTGGTTGTGGAGAAAAAAATGGTCATGGCTACGACAGCTTTTACTCGGACGTCGCGTCTCGCTCGGTCGCACCGGCTTTTCATTAGTATTATTTTTTATTATCATTATTTATTTGTTTTCACGGTCAGGCTGAGATTTGAGTATCTTGACTTGAGACAATATTCGATAGTGATTAACGTCGTTAAATTTGTTGACTTTGGAAATCACACATCGGAGTCTAAAAACAAAAATCGTCACTCAAAATTATTTTATTATTGTTGCTGTTTATTGGTCCAAAATTTCACATCACAACATTCAAGTGTTGAAAAACAATTATTTAAGGAAATGGAAAATTAGAAGTAAAAACTCTCTAATTAATGGCTTCAGGTTCAAACTTTTGGTTGGGCCACACGCATTTTGTTTCCTCCTAAAAAAGAATTCAAAGAAAAAATTATAGTCGAAATGTGGGGTCATAATAATCCTGATTTCAAAGTGAAATAAGTATTTTTTTCCTCTGTAAGTCACATTTGACCCCCAAAAAAATGCGTGCCAGGTCGGAATCTGAAATAAATTAGTAATTTTAGTTCAAATTTAACAATAAACAATTATATTAATTTAAATGTGGCAAATTTTAAATAAATAATACTTTTCTATCAAGTGAATCATTTTGTTCCGCATCGACTTCAATCCACTCGTCGGTTAATTAGAGTTCAAGGTTTCCTGCCGACATATATGCGCCTTTGTTTTCCAAAGTATCGATTTGCTTGAAACCGGCGCGGCTGAGTTTCTTCCATGCCGATGCATCCAAATCCATCAGTGGCCAGAAATAGCCGTTTAATGACGCGTCGTGCAAGTAAATGAGAAAGATTTCACGAAAAGTCGAGTTTAAAAATAATAACTCAATGTAATTTGCCCACACTGACGTCAACGAGTTTCGATAATGGAAATTTTATTGAAAAGATTACTCACTGGATAAATTTTATTTTACAAGGAAACGAGAATAGACATCAGTAGAAGTGGAAGGGAAAGTTGTTTGTGGAAAAAAACTGTTGTGAAATGGCGGAAAACTATGATTTGTATATGAAGGCTGAAAAGAAATTTATCCTGATCTCAAATAGAGGCAGAAACTGCTTCATTTACATTAGTAGATTCTGAAATTTATATATAAATAAAGAAAAAGAGAAAATTTTGCAATAAATTTTAGTTCTAGATCAGTTCAGTAAATTTAAGATCATGCAATTTTTTCTTGGATTTTTAATTAATTTAATTCGAAAAGTTTAATTGCAAATACGGAGCGAAGGCAAAACGTTTTATAATTTTCTAATTATCATTTGAGGCTTCATTCAAGTTATAAGAAGTGTTTATTCGCCGGTTACATTTTTTACACACGCAATTTTCCTTGAGCGTTCGCGTGATGATTTTTATTTCGGCGCAGCACCAAGTGAAACTTGTAACATGAATATCAAGAAAAAACGTGTTGATTTTCAAATCAAACAGTTTTACAATTTTGTCTGGTCGTTGCCAGAGTGGTCAAAAATTTGAAGCCAATTTCAGCTATTTTAGATTAACTGGTTATTAAAAATATATATATATATATATATATATATATATATATATATATATATATATATATATATATATATATATATATATATATATATATATATATATATATATATATATATATATATATATATATATATATATATATATATATATAAATCAAGGAATGTTTTGATTGAAAAAATTAGCATTGAAGGAAAATGGCCATTCCCTGATTTAGAAAATTTCCATTTATTCAAAAATCAAACTTGTCGTAAAACTCCTCAACAAACTTAATGAAAAAAGATAATATTTTTGATGATTTTTTATTATTTATTATATTTTTTATATAAAGTATTTTTATTTAAATGAAGCCAATTTACAATTTTCAATGGAGGGATTATTTGGTTCATTTTTTTTTTAATCTAAATTAATCTTAAATCGCGTCTCAGGTGAGACAACAGCTGTGCGTCAGTCAATAAATGGAGCTGAAAATAGTGGCTTTGGCCAATTAGTTGCAATCGGCGGATCAAGAGGAATCGCGTGGGGTGCGTCAATCACGACTCGGTCGACGCAGCTTTCGGGCCAGGACTTCCGAAACCGGTCTTGGCAAATAAAAACCGGACGAGAAAATAAATAAATTCCGTAACGCGATTTCGCCTTTTACGAGCGTCGTGGCGCCGCCGGTGTGAGGCGCCGCGCCCCGCGCTAAGCAAGAGATCGATCACGGGGGTTGAATTAGGTCAGCCACTCTCGTTTCGCGCTGCGAGCCGACAGGTTCATAAAAAAATAATAATAAAGTAAGAGAGATCGTCGACCTGGAGGAGAAATGGAGCGCTTTTTGCCAAGCACAATCCGATAGAACGAAGGGCCAATTTTGTTTGCGCTTCCGCTTTCAAGTGGGATGCTTTTGATTGTGAATGAGTTGCAAGTTCCTTTTCCATCCTTATACTGGAAAACCGAAAGTCTCAAAAAGGGACCTCATTCTTTCGATTTGGTTCTCACGAAATTTAAAAAAAAAATGGATAGTTGATTAAAAACAAAATAAATAAATAAAATTTGATTTAATTAGAAATTGAATGTAAAAAAATAATTAATTACATGAAATTGAAGAGATCGGGCTTTTCCTCGTTGAAAAAAGCCCGGTCTCTTTCATTTCCAAGATCATCTCCTTGTGTCAACTTCTTAAAACTAAATAATTAAATGAATGAAATTGTAAGTTCCACTCTTTTACTTTTTTTAAGCCAAATTTAAAAATTCATCGTAATCGGTGAGTTGTAAAAATATGACAAATCAACAACAATAATTATTTTAATTATTTAAATCTTCATCCTGATTAAACTAAATGTGTGTTAATTTATCTGTTATTATTTAGATTTTCAACTGTTTTTTTTTAACTTTAAATAACCGCAATTTCGCTTTTCAGTCCAACTTTTGTTCGGAGCAAATCCACAATTTCGTTACGCGTTACTTATGAGATTTTTAGTGAAGCACTGCGTAGATTGGGTCGCTGCTTGATATGGTTGTTCGCTTCGGCTCGAATTGACCCCTGTGCCCCGTTGTAACCACAACAATTAATTAGGCGCGCGCGCGTTTCTCTTGAGCGAGCAAAAGCACACTCATAAATTAAGTCGGCCGGTGGATGATGGAATAAAAAACACACACACGAGGGTCTTTCTATCTCTCTCGCAATTATTGTGATCGACAGAACAAATTCAGAGCGTGCGTTTGTGCAACGACTGCTGATGCGGCGATCGCGCTTATAACAATCTAAACTCGATGCAAAGTACGTCGATGCGGTTATGTAACTCATGATATATATTCCTTCTCTGTTAATATTTATATTCTTACCGCATCAAGTTATAAAATTAGAAGAGAAAATGTTAGTCTATGATGATTTTTTCAAAAAAATTTAAAGCGGACTCAGAAAATGAGCGAGAAAACCAATGCTCGGAAAATGTCTAAATTGTAAATTTTAATTCTTTTCAAAACAGATTCGGATTTCTGTTTCCAAAAAGGTCCAATTAATTAACACTAAAAAATTATGAGAAGCAAATGGGAAACTCGGACAGAAATCTGTTTTGAAAAGAATTTAAATATCCAATTAAAAGTTGAAATTTGGACAGTTTTATTCTTTTTCCGAGCATTGCTCAGTTTCTGAATTCACGTTATTTCTTTTGAAACATTAAAACTTAACTGGAATGCTCATAACAACGAAAACCCGACACAATTCTACACTAAAAATTAGAAATTGACTGAAATTTAAATCCAAAATAATTTAAAATTCAAATTGTGTACAATTATTTGGTTTGTTTAAAAAAAAAATGTTTTTTCTTCATTTTGTGCAATTTTACTTTTTACCTTATTACCAATCAAGTGAAATTTCCAAGCAATGAGTCAACTTGAGGAAACTCGCCCAACAAAAATAAAAATTGACTTACTTTCACTAATCTGTCGCACTCTTATTTGTATTCTTTGCTGTCAAATTTGTGCCGTAATCGTGGATTAAAAATACTTAAAAATACACAAAATGTGCTGCAGTGGTGATGTAACTACGCGAAAAACCGCAATTAAATAGTGCCTTATCGCGCTTTGCAGATTGCTCAGCTGCACTTCCACTTGATAGCATCTATCGCCAGCAGGGTTATGTGAACGCGCAAATAATAATTAATTTTTATCGCCATTTGCGCTCAACGGATTTCTTTCAACTGGCTTTTGCAAAAACGCTGCGTTACAATATTTAACAGGTTGATTAAATTTTAAGAAAACGGCATTTGAGGATGAAATTATTCTAATTTGATGTCGTAGAAAAATGGAAGTCTGAAGAAAACAAAAAAAGAACGGAAATGGGTCAAGTGCAGTGGAAGTGGTTGACCGTCCGACGCATTTTTATTTCATAAAAAATGATAAATTTCCTTTACTCATATTTACACTGGAAGATAATATCAAAAAGTTAATCGTTTGTATCATTAAATTTTATATTCACGTTCTTTTTTCTTATAGAACATATTTGCAAATTTTTTTGGAATTAGTTTAAATTTATTGTTATTTAATATTGTTGTTTTTTGTTGTTTATTGTTACAATACATTGTTCACATTCCATTGATGAAAACAATTTATTTGAAAAGCAATAAATTTTTTGGACAAAATGGCACAACCGCTAGCAAGAATTTTGCTAAAATTTCCGAGATTAAAATCACCCTATCCGCCGCAGTGAGCCTTGAGTTGACTTGGTTTTGTTAAGATTTATTGGCAATGGTTGAAATTTATTTTTCTTTATTTTATATATGATTTTCAAACATTTTGTTTTGTTATTGTTTTTCTATACTATTTGAAAAATAATATTTACATAATTTGCTGATATTTGTTTTTAAAACTGAAGAACTTCAACTCTGGCTTTGAGATTAAAATTTTAGCAAATAATTAGATTGTAAAATATTGAATTTTTTATGTTTCTTATACTGGCGGTTACCTACATTAACAAATTTTCAAAAGTTGCGCATTAACGTGATTAATTGAGTCTGGTCGATGCAGAGGAATTGCGGCGAAAATTTGAGCCGCGAGCGCACCAAATGACCGACTGGGCAAAGCTGCGAAAGAACTTGCGCTTTTATCTGCTGGAAAACAAAAATGTTTTGCCGAGTAATGAGAAAATTGTCACGCGAATTTGCCAGTCCGTGCAGCCACAATGCCCGCCTCGAGCGCTCCGAGTCAAGCCTCATGGCGAGCGTGAGTTTGTGGCATGCCTTGTCCCTGCCCTTCCATGACCACCTTGGCGGTCACCACCATCCTCGTCTTTGTTTCGCAGTGAGTCCGTTTTAATTTTAGAGTCGTTCACCCTGTACCAATCTGGAATGAAATTAGCATTTTGCAATTCAGATTCGTGGAAACTGCAATAAATTAAAATTGTTATTTCTATAAAAATTTAGTAAAAAAACGATTTTTCATCTCTGTTCCTACTTGACAAAAATTGAGATCGGGGAAAACATAATTTTCTCTATTTTATATTTCTGTATCAAAACTTGCAATGATTTTGAGAAAATTGCGTTTTATTTCTATAATTCTCAATGAAACAAATTTTTTAATTATAGAATTGATTAATTAAATTCATCCATGAATTTCCAGAAGACAAAACTGTTGAAATTTAGTATGATCTGTGTATAATTCAGTGGCCATTTTATCACGCCTCGTTGTGGTGCAAAAGATTTCGCAAATTCAACTTGGCCGGCCTTTGTTGTCCGCAGTGTCACAAATCTTGAGCAAATGTCAGCACCAATTATATTCTCGGTATATTTTCTCGCTTGAAGCGTATTATTTTGCGTTCAAAACAAACACTGCAAATTCCTATTTTCCGCTATTTGCATACCATCTAGGCTGGTCTGAATTGCTTGGAATTTCGAAAATTTGGCTTTAAACCGAGCCAAAATAAATGTGCGAAATGCTGTGTTTAATTTTGGCCTGCAAGAAAATCTGTACCAAATATAACCTTAAATGATAAAAAGCTACAGAAATAATATTTTATAAAATTGTAGCTTGATTATATAATTTAATTTTAATTTAATTTGACCAAGGACGAAGGGCATTCCTTTAATCTCTGTATGAGAAAAACCCACTGTCACCAAAATTTGATGAATTAGTATTCATACCTTTTGGATGTACATGTAATAATGACATTTTAATGAGACCTCGCTTGCCCGCCACGCCGTGCTTTATCTTATCAGAGGAAAGAGTTATACTCGGCGCGCGACGTGATTATCGCCTCTCGCTGCAGGATGAGCCAAGCCGCAGCAGCAAAAGCAAAAGGAAAACTTTTATTCGGCCGTGCAGAACACGATGCTTTTTTAACAAAAGCTAAATTTGGATTTTTGAGCTGGACTTTGTCACATTTAAAGTTGAAATTTATCGACTGGTTCTCAATGCCTCCGAGAATTTGCAAAAACTGGTGCAGTGAATGTTGCTTTTAACCGATCGATGGCCACCAAAAGGTCGCCACCAAAAATAATTGTCCTCTTAAATTCTTATTTATAAATTTTTTGAGACATTGAGTAATTTTTTGCATTAACTTATAAATTATTTTTAAAATGATTCGAGTTAAAACAGTTTCTTTATGGTGTTTTTCTACACTCCTCTTCCGTCCTCGCTTTTTCCTCAATTTATTTGACTTGGGCTTCTAACACGTTCTCGCAACGCTCAAAGTTTGCTTTCGTCTCAGTCCTCTCGCGTATATAAAGCTTTGAACAAGCATGACTGCAGAGTCTTGATGAAAGCCTCGTTGTTGCCAGCGTGCTGATTACAACTAATTAGCGAAGTGCTCTGCTAGTCTTTTAGTGTGTAAAATTCCTTATTCTTATGGAGAAGGTGAGGAAAGAGGAAGAAATGAAACTAGGCATTAACAACGAATTTAAACAAAATTTTTAGCCGCATTTGGACAAAATAATTATACGCTTCTTCTTATTTTTCCTCCAGCTGACTTAGTAATTTTTATCTGAAATTTACTCTCCACTTTTGATTTCGGCCTCAGAAAAAAACAATTATGGTTTAAAATTGGAAATTGCAAGAGAAGATTTTCAAAAGAAACGCCATATTTTCAGGCTCGGATGTTGAATGTGATCTGAAAAGGGAAATTGGGCGGTTCATTAGGGTAGCTGTGCACCCTCGGGTGTGAGTACCGAGAGCGATTGCAATCGATGACGGTTCTCCGCAATGTGAGAACAAGGTTACTCGGTTGTTGTGGGCCGAGCGAGCAGGCAGGGCCAACTTATCGATCGGGCCGCCGCGTTTTCAAGTGAGTGGGGCGGGCGCCCGTCCGCCTGCTCACCCGCTTGGCTGGACCTGGCTGGCTTCGGCACCCCTGCCGGAGCGCCCCGTTCCCCGCTCCCCCCGGAACGCACGTCGTGCCGAAATTCCAGGTGTTTCCCGGGATTACACGCAAACTTTTCATATCAAAATTTCGGCTCATATTTTATTTTTATTGTTGCAACAGAAATTTTTTCAAAATATACTTTTCGTTTGAACTTCTAAAGCTTGGGGAAAAAATTGAGCCAGCCAGTTATTTTAAAGTGACGCGGGCACAAATCATCACGTCAAGTTCAATCTGTCATATCTAAACATAAAAAAAAAATAGAAATATATTTAAAAATGAGCTCACTAGACCATGCTGTGTCAGCGAGATGGTTAAAATCCGTTGATAAATGCTCTGGCGATGCGCAAAATCTTGGCACATTTGCTGTTTTTTGCCCTGTCAACTCAAACCCGCAGCCCATTTATTTCATCCAGAATGCTTAAATTACTCCAATTAATTCGTAATGAAAACTAGATTTATGAATTTTACGGCTCAATTAGGGAATTGAAATTTTTGTAATCTCGTTAATTCTTGAAATCTTGTAATTAATCCGTGTTTTTTTGTTTGTTTTCAGGCTGACCCGAGGTGCTCGCAGCGCCGACCACCCTGACCTGCAGGTGACGGGAATCAGGGTGGAGGTTGCTGAGCGCGACCCAACCTATGATGAGAATGGAGTGCCCGTTCTGTTGGTGGGCATGACGGCCACAATCAGACTGTTTGGTCAAGGCTTCACAAATGAGACCTCCGTGGCGGTCACGTCGGTGCCGGGCCTGCGAGGCGAGAACTGCCAGCATCCATCGAATAAAGTCTTTCTCGTGAGTTTGATTTTTATCTATTATATTCTTTAATAAAAAAAATTCGCGTTTATAGAATTGTAATTTTATTATTAATATTTTTTTTTACATAAAATTATTTCAATTGGCGCAGTTTCTTAGTTAAAATTAATATTGAAATCAATAAAACTTCAAGTAATTGTGATCAATTTTCCAGCAAGTAATAAAAATGACTTAAATGGGTGGAAACTTTGTTGCGATGGGAAACAAAGTGGGTGCAATACCATTAGCGATGTTTCTTATGGTTTATTTTTGCTCTTCTCACAACACGACCATTCATCATTTTGAACGCAACCTCCGCAAAACACCAACAATGCACTCGCTGGAAAACTGGTCTATTTCAGTGCGATGACAAAATGCTGCGCCAGTAACGTTAAAACGCCGCACGCTTCATTTGTTCATTTGCAGCAATTTCCAATTGCACACAATAGCGTTGCGCTTTAAGTGGAGGCAAACAATTTTCATGATGAAAATCGCATGTGCAAGGCAGCAAAATGTGGGTGATTTAACTAGGTCAGTTTTTTTTAAACGCCACCCGTTTTCAATCATGTTAATCAAATTAACTTTTAAGATCGTTACAGCGACGCTGACACTGATTTTACTTAAATCAAATTGAGATATTAAAAAAAAGCTATGGACTCTTGGAAATAAGTGGTATTGGATTTATTAATAAATAAATAAAAAATTACAACCAAATAATAAACGCTTATTTTTTTATTTCTTATTAATATTATTTATGATTTTATTTACTTAGAAATAAATTATTTTATAAATTTAATGTTTATTTTAAGAATTACTTTTTTCGACATTTAAAGCAGCATATTAAGTAATAAGTTCAAAGTATATTCATTTTCCTAAAATGTATTAATATTTTCAACACATTCACAAGTTTGCACCAAAATTGTAATAATAAACTCGTCACTTTTTCTCCGTCGTATGTAATTAAAAGTTAATAATAAATAAATGATAAACTATTTTTCAGTAAAAACTTCGATAGCTTTCATTAAAAAAATTCATAAATCTTTTTCATTTACAAAACGCATCTTATTTAAGAAATTTCTTTCTAAGTTGATGCAGAACGCCAATTTTGCCACTTCTCAAAATCGAAAAATAATTATTCAAATTTCAGGTTGACGCGAAGAGCATCATGAAAACGTCCGCCCAGGCAATGGTGCAATTGCCGGACACCGCGCTCGACGGCACCACGTTCTACATCTGCACCAAGAAGAGCAACAGCAGCAATTGGGAATATGCTGGAGACGAAACAGAGACCTGGCTTCAAATCAAGGTACTGAAAGTTTTTAAAAATAAAAAAGGTTCATCTAATCCATTTCCGCCAGGCCTTTCAAAAGATGCTGCCCCTGTGGCTGGGCATCGTCATCATCGTTGTCCTGCTGGTGCTCTCAGGACTCTTCTCAGGCCTCAACCTGGGCCTGATGGCGTTGGACAAAACCGAACTGAAAATCGTCGTCAACACCGGCACCGAGACTGAAAGAAAACACGCACGGGCCATCGAGCCGGTGCGGGCGCACGGCAACTACTTGCTCTGCTCGTTACTTTTAGGTGGGTTCAAGCCAAAGCCCGTTTTTGCGCTTTTGCCGTAATTGCCGTGCGGTTCCATCTTTAAAAATCTTTTATTCAAATTTGAATTTATCAAACCATTCAACTGTTTCGTATTCGGAACTTGATGGAACCGCACCTTGTCCTTTTTCCTTTGTTTAATTCCGGAGGGAGCCTTGCTTGCTTGCGGCTGCCAAAGGGCGTGCAAAAATGGTGTGTCTAGAGCAAGTGTGACAGTGCAGGTAACGTGCTGGTGAACTCGACGCTGACCATTCTGATGGACGACCTGACCTCTGGACCGGTGGCCGTCATCGGATCGACCATCGCGATCGTCATTTTCGGTGAGATCATGCCGCAGGCCATCTGCTCCAGACACGGCCTGGCCGTCGGCGCCCAGACGGTGTACATTACTAAAGCGTTCATGATCATCACCGCGCCCCTTTCTTATCCAATCTCGCTGCTGTTGGATAAAATTTTGGGCAAGGAGATCGGAAACGTGTACAATAGAGAGCGACTTAAAGAACTCATCAAGGTATTTATCCTCTTCTGACATCTCTCTATATATATATTTGATTAAAATTTTAATTTAAATTAAAAAATCAACTGTGTATAAACATTCGAGTGTATTTTGCAATCTGCTCATCAAATATACTCGCACTGACTGTAAATATTCATCATTCGTTAGTCCATTAGCAATTTTAAAGTAGTTTGGGCTTTTACAAAAATGATTTAGTTTTCAATGCTTGTTAACTGTATTATTAAAGAATACTCTTTTCTGGCTAGTTCATAATTATGCAAGAAATTAAATGTCAATAATTTTGCTGGCAAAATAAAATAAGAAATGATAATACATCTTTATCTGCAGTCAACTTAAAAATTTCCATAAACAACAATTCAAAATAACTTCAGTATCAAAATAAACCTTTTAAAATAAATTATGCTTGATTGTAATAAATAAATAAAATAATGAAGTTACACAATAAAAATTATGATAAAATTGAGTGGCGCCTTCTTCGCCACTAAAAAAGGACCCAGGCCGACAAGACTTTGTCTTGGCCTGACCCTAAGAAAAATTATTTAAAATACCAAAAATTCACTTTCATTTCCGTTTGTGGATTCTAATTTTGAACGGTTCGAGATGCTTTTTGAGTGCTCGATAGTCACGGAATTGCCTCAGCGCCACTTAAAAAGTGAAAAGCGCGTTGCGCTCCTGAAGTGCTTAATTGCATTCTGCGAAGAGGCCATTCATCTGATAACCGCTCTCGGCGGCCGAACGGGTGAGGCGGCGCGTCTAAAAATAATGTCGGTCGCGCCGAGAGATGCAGCCAGAGTGTCTCGTCATGCGTATTTATTTAAAATTATGTATGTGCAAACACACACACCACAAATATTCTGGCGATAAAAATAGGCTGCGACGGCGGCACATGGCAAGAGGCTGGATTTTTATTCCTGCCACACAAATATAAAGCAAGTGTCGTGCAAACACTGAGGAAAGTAATTTATCAATTGCGTTTGCTAATATTTTTCTTTCAAGGCAGGCTGGTAATTTGTTTTTCACTTATCGCAATCAGTTTGTCAGACAGTAAATTCGTTTGACGTAAAATTTTCAATCCTTGAAAAAATACTTTCAATGACAGGACCCAATGCAAATAAATTATAAATTTTTATTTAAACTTTTAACTGTCATGAATATTTGAACAAAAAATTATTTATTGAAATTAAATTTAATGCTTAATTAAATATAAAAAAAGTATATTTTTCTATCAACACAGTCGCGGAAATTTTTCCGTTAAAGATAATTTTGTCCATCAAATTATGATTCGAATTAATAAGAAGCATGACTATTAAATTAATTGAATTTAATTAAATTCGCACCCAGTTTGGAATCGTCACACTCGTCGATTTTGTCAACTGGCCACCGCCATCGCACATCCTCTCGTGTTGGTCCTGTTTCGCGACGTCTCTCTCGCGTTTCAAAATAATATGAAGCGCGCCGCAAAAATTGCGAGCTTTGTTTTCTTAAACGAAAGTGACAGGAAGTTTCGCGTTGCCCGGCCAGATTTGTCTTACACGCTGCAACTCGCGTTACGGAATTTCCTCTGAGCTGCGAGATCGAGTTGTCAGTTTGGCATCCTTTGAAAGGTGAACCGAAAGCGCGCATTGCAAATTAACACTATTTACTAAAATATTTAATTACTCTAAAGTGTCAACTTCATCTGTGTACAATCCAGTGACAGAAAAGGCAATGAAATATAGTAAATTTAAAAAAGGTTCCTATTAATTTATAAAATCTTTTCCTGTTCTTCCTGGAAATAATATTACCCGCTTTCAAAATGTAAAAATTTCTCTGTATTTTCAATGAACACGTCAATTTTTTTTTATTATGATTTTTTTTTAATTTTTTCCATTTAAAATTCTTTCTAATTGTAAGATTAATATGAAATTTTTACTCAAACTGAAATTTCCGTGCTTTGAAAGTCAAATTCTGGCGTGTCTGGCACATTTCAATCGCCTCTTCTTTTTAATGAATCCACCGCCGCGGTTTATTTTCACAGCAACGTTTATACTAGGGACGGTCGAGCTTTTTTTTAGTATGGGGCAGCTTTGCTGAAACATTTAAATTAACGTATCAGCACCGGTGGGGGCACCAAAAGCCATTATTACTTCTATTATCAGCGAGCGGATTGTTGTAGTTGGCAGCCACCTCCGGCGAATTTGAGCAGCATTTGAGCGACTTCCTTTGTGCAGCTTCTAATCCCTGAAAGCTTTATTTTCACGTAGCTTAGACTTTAAAACGTAGACAAATAAACGACCTCTCTGTGCTGAGACGATCTATCGCAAGTAAATCGCTAATTAGGCTTAAAAAATTTCAAACCCGAGATTTTATTTACACGCTCGCCGAGGAAATCTTGAATTCGCCAAAGCCGAGCTCTTTGCCAAAAGAGAAGGAGAAAAATTTTAATAGCATAAGGCCGTTTTTTCTATTTCTGGCTTTTGACGGTTTGCTCTGCGCGTCACACAAACTGACACACACTGGTCTTATTAACGAGATCTAATTGGGCAATTAATAGTGGATTGGGAAAGGTCGGCTAGATTCCAAGGACACATTGATCAAATAAATATTTTGTTTTCCTGTTTATTTGCACGACTGAGATGCGCGCCTCGGTCGATCCCGCGCTGATGCGATCATCTTGCTCTGTTGCAGGTCACCAACGAGTACAACGATTTGGAAAAGGAGGAGGTCAACATCATTTCTGGTGCGCTCGAACTCAAGGAAAAAATCGTCAAGGACGTGATGACGAGCATCGAGGACGCATTCATGCTGCCTGAAGACGCGGTGCTCGACTTTGAAACTCTCAATGAGATTAGAGAAAAGGGTAGGTTTTATTTTTGTAATTCAAATTATTCCTAGTACTAAAACAAAGTTAATTTTGTGGTGTCAAGGATTGATTCGTGGTGATTTGAATTTTAAATCGGTTTTTCCTTGATGGGTTTTGTGAGTTGTTTATTGTTAAAGAAGAAAAAACAATATCCTGCTTTACATGTTTTGTCTGCGGGCTGGAGCCATCGAGCTGTGAAATTATTTTGACAAGATTAAGTACAAAAATTAAAATATTTTACTTTCAAATTAACAATTTTTTTGTGTGAACAATTATTCAAAGTTACAAAACAATTTTTAACACAGATTTGATACTTGAATTCAAAAAGATATTTTTAATGTCAAAATTATTTCACAGCTCATGAATTATGGCTGTAGCTGAAACATGTAGAGCAGGATATTGTTTTCTTAAATAATTAACAGCTCACAAAACCCATCGAGGAAAAGCCGATTTAAAATTCTAATCATTATTAAAAATTAAAATTTAATTTTTATTGTTTCAAACACGAAGTTCTAAGCTGGATTTTTCCAAATGTGACCAGACCATTTTAATTATTTTTCCATCAAAAAACTAAAAATTTTATTGATATTTCTAATCGAACATTTTCCAGGATATTCCCGTATTCCGGTCCACGAAAAGGGCAACAGGTACCACATCGTTAACATCCTGTACGCCAAAGATCTCGCGTTTGTCGACTCGCGCCTCAACATGCCTGTCAGCGTGTTTTGCAAGTTCCACCCTCGCAACTTTGAATTTGTGTTTGAAGACGTCACGCTGGACCACATGCTGAAATTGCTGCGGGAAGGTATAAATTTCCGCTCGCTTAGTTGCACAAACAAGTCATATTTTGCTCTTTGCAGGCTCCAAAGGGCATATGGCGTTCGTCCTCAAAGTCGTAACTCAAGACGAGAAGGACCCCTATTACGAGTTGGTCGGCCTGGTTACTTTGGAAGACATTATCGAGGAGATGATCAAGGCGGAAATTGTCGACGAGACGGACATGTGGTGTAAGTATAAGCACGCCACACTTCTTGCAATTTCGTTTGACTTTGCCGTTTTCTCTTGATCGCAGCGGACAACCGGACAAAACGACAGTTGGACAGGAACACGTACAATGTGTCTCTTTTCCTCGGCAAGCGCGAGAAACAAAAGCACGTCCTTTCGCCCCAGTTGACTTTGGCCGCCTTCCAATTCCTCTGCACTTGTATAATCAAATTGATTCAATCTGCAATTAGTCAACTGATTATTAATTGTTGTTGCAGCGGTTTCTCCATTCAAACCGGACGTCATTTCACTTACGGCGCTGAGGAAACTGCTGGAGGAGGACGTCAACCGGCAGATTAAACTGAAAAGAAAAGGAATCATGCAAGATCCCCAGAGCCTAATTATTTACGAAAAAGTAGAAATATGAAACATACATAAAAGGAAATTTAATTTGAAATCAATTTTCAGAACAAACCTGCTAATTTCTTTGTCCTGGTTTTGGAAGGACTGGCCGAGGTGTCGATCGGAAATGAAAATCTGGTCTTTGTGGCCAGACCCTTTACTTCTTTTGGAACAGAGTTTTTCATGTCAGTTAGTAAGTGATCAGCTTCGTTTCTCCTTGAATGAGATTTTAATTCCAAAGTAAATCTAGCCGAGTCTGCTTTGGTTGTGACTCCGCCAAGTCTACCCGAATACCAGCCAGCAGAGTTTCTGCCTGACTACACGGTCAGGGCACACACAGACATCACATTCATCAAGATTCCGGTGTCTCTGTACATAGCAGCCGTCCGGGCAACAAAACTCGACAAGATGCGCGAGGATGGAGGGGCCCTGGAGGACCTCGACCTTTCAATGGTGATTTTCGCTTTTGCTTCTCGATTAATCAAAATGCACAAAATTCAATTTCGAAATTACACATAATATGTGCCTTGCATGCTTTGTTTAAAACGACTTTCTCTAATCTCTTTGTCGACCATGTCGAGTGACTGTGAATTTACAATCTTGTCTCTGTTTGTGCCGCTGCTTTTCCTGCAGTATATGCTCCAGCAAGATAAGGCACGCAACGATCTCGGTGCCTCTCCAGCTTCAGAAGCACAGGTGAATTAAATGTACTCGGCTGTCTGGTTCAAAAGACTGCTGATTTTATTTGTGTTACAATTCGCAAAAATATTCAATGAAAATTTTTGTCGACATTTGTACATAATGTAAAATTTTTGCATGATTTTTTGTTAACAAGAAATTCGTAACCAAAAGCCATTGTTCGTTTAAAAATTAAATGTTTTTTTTAAACTATTTCAATTTTCCACAGGAAGCTCCACATTTTGCCAACGCCAGCAGTCCCAGCACTGCAGGCAACGGACCCCTGGTCATTAAAGAGCGGGACCGCTTCATGAGTTCCGGTCAAATCTCGCCGCTGCCGCCAAGCCCGAGTGAAAGTCAAGGTCTTTTGCCACAAGAAAATACACAATTTTAGCAGCAGCCCCCGCGGGGTAACTCCATGTTTCCCCGCAGGTCACGGTGATGCAGGTTGGACCACTGGTGGTCAAGCACACTTGCACGCAGTGTCCCTTATTCATGTTGATAGAAATAAAAAGAGAAGAGCATTCCTTCGAGTAATTGTTAGAGACTCACTCTCTCGCCCTGTTACAGTAATAATTATTTTACGAGGTCAGTTACCGCTGCATGTGATTAGCAAAAAATAAATAAATCAGCCTGAATTTATTGGTGTACGACCAGTGTTAGGAAGATTTTGGACCAGTTTAGGCAGTGCTCATAGTAGATTGTAGCTTTCCTTGGCCGATTTTTGCTCTGCGATGTTGGTGCCATATATATATTTCTCGTAATATCATAACTAAATGCTTTCAGCCCATTATGAAAAGAATTTCATGTCAAATTTAGTCATTTGCAAGTTCCATGCCAATTGCTTGTACAAATTGTACATAATTATTTGTCAGTTTTATTTGCACCAACTCAATCTGTTTTATTTGTCGGAAACTTTTTGGAGCTGCCTGCTGTAAGAAAATTGCTCACAAATGTAATGTCAAAATTTTTCAGTATAGAAATGCAGCATTCGACTTGGGAAATTTTATAGAAAAGAAATATTATTCGATGTGAATTAATGAAATAAGATGGTAGTTGAAAACCGAGAACGCAGGTACAGGCTGTGTTGAAATGCTAGATCAGCCAAATCATTACATTATTGAATCCTGTACCTGAATAAATCTTGTAAGAGAAATTGTATTTGACGACGTGGAAATTATTGTATTTGTTAATAAAATGTATATTATCATCACCCTGAATATTATCATGCAATTTGGAGTAAAAAGCCAATACATAATTATTTTTTATTTCGTGCGAAAAAAAGTACTGTTCTAATTTTTGACACCGTTATAGCCAAAAAGTTTTGCAATGCCATTTCCAATGATGATAAAAAATAATAATTAGCAAAATATTTCAATCTTGCTTGTGAGAATAAATCCTTAAAAAGTTTCAAAAAAGACACGAAATTTTCAGCTCTTGATTGAGATTCAATGACTCCCTATAAAACTAACCCAAAATGCTCTCATGTTTAGCAAATTCCGGAGCTATTAACGTATTTTGTTATTCACTAAATAATCTGTATGCTCTGCAAAATTTAAATAAATGTGCTTTAAAGCCACAATAATGCCATCTAACAATAACATTTTGTCAAAAGACAAGCAACGAAGTACATCAAAATAATTAACTATTTGAAAAATTCTACGAAATCAAACTAATTTTCTTAATCCATAAAAGTTTAACAATTGTATTGGAACCAATGATCATCCCTTATTGCAAAGACAAAGAGAAAATTGTGTAAGAAATATGCGTACCTGTATCTATAGAAAAACATTTAATTGTGTCCTCAATGTCGTAAAAATAGGAAAATATATTGCTTTTAGTTTTTGGAGCATTAAACTTGGATAAAATTATTTTACATGCAAGCAGTGTGGCTATGTCACAGGCCGTCGCGTCAGATATAATTGATAATAATTATTATTATCTGATGAAGACGAGTATGGATGATTTAATTTAATTTCGTTAGCTACATAAAAATGTTAGCAGTTTCGTTATAAGAAATAAACATAAAAATGAGCCTGATGCAAGATTATTAAAATAAAATTATTTTATTGACATTCAATGAAATCTCTGCTATTTTAATTTCTCGTTATGGTCATTCATATCATCATATTTTCTTTCATTTTTGATTGGAGTTGAATTGAAAGTTGTGAATGTAAATTATTGAATATTTTCACATTTTTCGCGCGGTTTTTTGAGTGGGCGGATGCACCGCATTTTCATTCTTCTGATTGGTCGCCGAGCCGAGCCTCTTCCCGCGTTTTGTTATTCAACAGGACCGAAAAGCAGCTGAAACAGATTTTTTTATCAAAGATTAAAAAGACGCGCCGATTTTCCAACAAAATTCTCCACAAAACGATGTAGGCGCATCAAATCGGGATTTAAAATTTTTCTAGTTATTTTCTCCGGCGAAATTTAAGCGAATCGGCTGCCTAACCTCATTTCACGGTCCTTCCAAAGAAAATCTACAAAGCAGGTGCGCCATTTTCCACCACGTTTGCCGGACTGAAGAATTTATCGTTTGTGTATTTTACAGGCCAAGATGCCGAACAACACGAGGGACAGTCCTGCTTCGGCCGGTGAAAAGTGCGAAAAGAGCTGGGCCGACCTTGTGGAGGAGGACGAGCGTGGCATGGACAAGACCCCGTCAAAGGAAGATCCTTGCCCGAACCTGGACGACTCGAGGTCGAAGGCTTTGAAGAAAATCGACTTTGGCTGCGAGGAGAGTCCCATGAAGACCGAGTCGCCGCTCAAGGACGTGTGCAACTCGCCCGAACTGATGCACTGCAGTCCGGTCAAGGACGAGGCGCAGAGTCCCAGCAAGAGAAACTCGGACGTGACCAGGAGACTTTGGGCCAGTCCGCGGCGCCGGGAACGAGACTCGAATCAGCCAAAGCTCGGACTCGCCGTCTCCCCTCGAAGACCACTTTGCCCACCAGACAGTCCTGCCATTAGTCCGCAGCAGAAGGACAACCTGAAGAGGAAAAGACCCCAGGACCTTTTCAAATGCAGCAGTCCTGGCAATTCTCTCTGCTCCTCCCCAGGGTAAGATTGTTTTAATACAACTTCAATAGATATTTTCCGTCTAAATTTTTTTTGCCGATTTATTTTAAATTGTTTTCTTTTTCAATTTCTTCTAGGGACAGAGGAATCTTCAGTCCGAGGCCCAAGAAGAAAACCATGGAGCCGGAAACCGATGTCGGTGTCTTGAGCAGGAGAGCCAAGCAAATTGAGTACGGAAAGAACACGGAAGGCTACCGCAGATACCTTGAAATGGTTCCCAAGTAAGAGAGTCGACTTTGAACCTGATGTTTGTGAATTTCAACTTTGCTTATTCTTCAGGAACAAGAGATTGCCTGACCACCCACAGACTCCCCCTAGGGAAATCCAGTACAGCCGAAGGGCCTGGGACGGCTGCATCAGAAAATGGAGGCAGCAGCTGCACACCTACGACCCACCTGAGGGTGATGAAGGAGACTTGGACAAGTAAGTTTATTTTAAAAAATTGACTCTGCGGAAGATTTGAGTTTACGAGAAAAATAAAATAAATAGTCTATCAGATTTTTCTGATTTTGATGAAAATGAATGATTATAACAAATAATTATTAGATCTTTTCTCAGATTTTCCACTTGCTTTAACTTAAAAATTTAACTAATTTTTCTATTTTACAGTTTGGACAATTTGGACACCATGTCTGAAGCCTCCGTCGGAAACAGCAGTGCAATCAGTGACAACCACTCTGAGATCTCATACCCTGGGAGTGGCACCAAAAAGGGAGCTCAGCGCCCTCCCAGCACCATTTCCTTGGACGAATACCCTCCCCTGAAGTAGAAGATTGGGATGAGTAAATTGTGTTTTCTAACTCTGACTTTAGCACAATCACATGAGCCTCCTCTTGGAAATAACTTCACCGACTCGTAAAAATATGATGCCACATCATATGTCTCATTTTAAAGGGGGCCTTAAAATCTGTAAATTACTCTCCTCGATCAAAATTTTCTTGATTTGTAAAATTATTATCGTACTTGTTTCGTATAAAATTATTTGATTTTAGTTTGTGACTCTGCTTGACGTCAAGTCATATTCTCACTGCAGTTGCTTTCATTAGTCTAAGTGACAACTTACGATCAGTTTATGATCTTTGAAATTATCCTCTATCTGTGAGGAAAGATTCGAGTTGCTTTTGTCTTTTTCTCGACATTTTAAGAATATGAATGTGTGGATTTTTTACTTGTGCAAACATAAACCAATTACTGTAAAAATTGCAATGAATGATGTTTCTCAAGTTTAATTGATAAATTTTGAGTAGGAAATGGCATGAAAAGATGATTCATTTCATCAATAATACAAACAAATACAGAGTGGATTGATACCTATTTTTGTATGGTAAAATTTGAATAAAAACTACAACTTAATCATAATAACTGATAACTTGTATTTAATTATGCACAGATATTTCACGATTGTTCTAAAGAAATTTTCATTTACAACGGTGAAATCCTGGTTAAATATTTACAAGCTGCAATAATCACTTTTTTTGTGCCCAAAATTTAAAGAATTATGAAAACTCATTTAGGTGCGTCACATTGATTTATATTAAATAAAAAGCACGTAAAATGACTTTATTTTGCAAATGCGTATTTATTAAAAAATAAAAAAGTTTGCATTATTTTGCAACGCAGAAGTCGTCACCTAAACAAACAAGAAAAATTGAAATAAGAATTAAAATCATTTTTTTTTTCTGTGCAAGAAATTAAAATACCAGTCACTTGCTGAATCCAATCCAAGTATTTTGAGACTCTGGTGTTGACCCCAGGAGCGTGAGTGGCGCATCTGAACCCATAACTGATGATTCCAACGAGATGCAACCTTCTGGTTTCAGGATCCGTCCACAAGACAGGTCCGCCCGAGTCGGCTTGGCAAGCGTCTGAGCCATTTTTGAACGTGCAAATTTGGGTGTTGTCGATGTTGTTGCCCGATGGGTAGGCGCTTCTGCACATCTCGTCACTCACCACCCCCAGCTCTACCTTTTTAAGCCTCGACGATGGCTCACCATTATAAGCAGTGTTGCCCCAACCTAAATTTAAAAAAAAAATAAATTAGAACAATTTAACTTCGCAATAAAATCAATTCAGATTTTTCTTTTCGTGCGGTTTTTATAAGAAAAATCTAAGAGATATTGTAAAATTTAAAATTATAAACCTAAAACTATGACATCTTCATTCACAAATTCCTCTTCTTCAAATCTAAATGGCAAACACGCGGGACTCACAGCAACGTTGAACCTGAAGTGTTCAATTTGACAGTGAAATCTTCAAAATAAAAAAAATTAATTTATTTTACGGCATGTCTCTGATGGTTTCGATGATTGCAATGTCGTTTTTCTGCGTGACCGTGTTGTACTGGGGAAACGCTATGAATCTCTGGATCCTGAACACGGCGGCCTTATTTGTGTCCGTCCCTGTGCTGGTTGATTAAAAATTAAATTAAATTTTGTAAATTTTCCCTTCATGAGTAATAATTTTTTTGGGTCAGGCCAAGACAAATTCTTGTCAGTCTGTGCCTTTTATTAGTAGTGGACCCCATTTAATTTTTTTTTATCTATTTTTTTTCCACTTAATTAAAAATCATCATTTTTTTTCAAACCTCAGATCGTGGTCGCCAACGAGCAGGACGGCAGAACTTGGTGCTCGCTGGACCAAGCAATGTGCTGCCGTAATAGCTCTTCTAGCAGAAATTATCGTCGCGCCGCAAATCACTTTGGCCGAGTCCAAATCTACCAGACCTGCCATCATTGGGAACTCATTGATTCCCGTTTCACTTCCGCCGACGATCCGATTCTGCAAATTTTAATAAATAAAAATTGGTCTTATCTCGGAATAAAAAATGCTTTATCACAATACTTGGTCAAAATCATGCAGGTCCTAAAAATGTTAACTTTTATTCGGAGCAAAATCTTTATATATATATTAATTAAATTACCACGAATCGCCGTCCGCACAAACATGATGGCTGTGGCCTGCTGGTGACCACAGGAGGGGCAACAGTGCTCACAGAATCTGCAGGACGAATTCGGAGCTCGCAAAAAAATCGGCTGCCAGGATTGTAGCGGGCGCCTGCTTGGAATACGATGTTGAGCAAATTTGAGTTGCTTAAAGTGAGGAAACTGCCAACACCGCAGTAGCTGGAACAATAAGTTTTATTAGATTTTATTAATTGCTAAATGAATTATAAATAATTAAAGTACAATCCGAGGAAAAATATGTTTCTAACCCGTGAGCGTCTCTGAGCCTAGAGTCGCCTGATAGGGATACCCAAAGGACGTCTCCTCCTTCACACGATTCGTCTCCGAATTCGCCATCGTCTAATTGAATTTCTCGGCACTCTAATTCTAACCTCCATCCAACTGGTGCCACAGCATACCTTTAAATACAGGTATCTATTTTAATAATAATAATAAAAAAACATTTGGAAAAACAAGAAATTTGTCAAATAATAAAAAATAAATTGAATGGTGGTGGATTTCATGAAAAATTGAAACCAGGCAAAGAAAAAATGAAAAATAGAGGAAAACTTCCCACTTTATTTTTTCTTTGCAACAATATTCGCCTGGTTTCAATTTTCAATAAAAGATAAATTTATCAAAATTCCAAATTTATTTAGAATTTTGACGTTTTAAATTTCAATGTTAAATATATTAAAATTTGTATAAATTTAAATCTTGAGTATTTTTCTTGTTAAATGTGATCATTCAAAACAGCGTTAGTTAAATTATTATTTTATTGACAAAAATTATTGATAATATTCAAAGTTAATACTCAAAATTGGCGTATATATTAAAGAGTTTCTACTGCTCAATTTTAATTTAATGTGTTAATTTACCATCTACAGGTGAGGTGTGGACCAAACGTGTCTGGATAATTCGGCGAGTAAATGTAGAATTTGTCTCCAGGCTCGACGTTCTGGTAAAAATCACAGCCGGGCGTGATTCTGTTGCTGACCTGTGCCCTGTCGTCCTCCGTGCTGGCCGTCGAGTTGCTCTTGATGCCCAGCAGCATCAGGAGGCTGGTCACGATGCGGCCGGTGTCGTTCTTGAAGGGCTCCAGACGCATGTGTGCTCGAGGGAAGTCGCCGGACAAGGCGGCACCTGCACGGAACAAAATATAGGAAAAGTGACCAAAATGCACTCCGAGTCGCGACTTTATATTCTAATGAAGAAGTTGGTGGTTTGGTTTTTCCGGGCGAATTTCATAGAAAAATGTATAATTACTGAAATCAAAGGCAAAACCAAGACGAGTCTCGACCCCACATTGAATTAGTGTGTCAAGTTCACGAACACTGAACTAGTTTTGATTCTGTGTAGTTGCATCGTGTGTGCATGTGGTGTGGTTTTTCTTATCAGTGACAATTATAAATCCATCAGAGGAAACTCGATGGACTGACTTGTTTTCCTTTCCTATGCTCATCTCGGAAAAAGACCGCTGTTTATTTCAGGTTCGGATTATTTAATTTACCGTTTGCTTTTTGCAATTAAAAATCGTATTAGCATATATTGAAGATAAATTTAAGTGCACACATTTCAAAATATATATCAATTGGATCTGAATATAAAAGATGAGTCGACCAGTCGAGTTTTTTTTTCACTGCTAATATTGATTGCACGAGACTGTGCTGAACGTAGCAGTAAATATTAGGTATAGGAAGATTGCCTTGTCTTCGTGTCTCGTAAATCGTTCACGCGGTCGCTGATTATTTTTCTCATCTACGTATACGGGTTTGATGACTGTTATTAAGCGTCCAGTGCGAGGTGTATTAATGTAGAGTATTCTAACGAATACTTACTATAGTCACGATGTACTATCTTTGGTATGGGTGTAATTAATTATTTATTATTTGATTTGCAAAATTACGTTTTGTGAAGCAATTTATTTATGGAAATTGGTTAAAATCGTGTAAATCGATATGTTTAGAAAACTCTCTGCAATTGAATTACTTTTTTGATTCATTTTTTGTTATCTGATGTGATGAAAAGGTAAATTAAATTTTCATTATGCCTATTTATTCAAATATTTTGAGAAATGACATCATATTTTGAAAATTATTAATGTAATATTTTAATCAAATAATCATAGGATTAAAACTAAAAAAGGGAAGCAAGCATAATAGAGTATGCTGATAGAATCATTATATGCTCATTCCAGGGAGCTACAAACTTTTTTTATGCTTCTTCTTTGCTTTTGAAGTAACTGAAATAATAATAATATCTCAAATAATTAATTTTGTTTAAATTGAAAAACGCTAGGAAAAAATATGTGATTTTTTATGGGCAAAATATAGGCGCCTATTTAGTGAATTTTTATCTGCTTGGAAATAAAAAGTTGAAAAAAAAGCCAAATTTAATATTTTATTATTATCGACGTCAAAATTGTGTGTTTAATTATATTTCTGCACGATTTTCTTTAGAAACTGGCCATTTTCTGAAATTAAGTGGTTTTCAGGGAAATTTAACTGGTGAAAAATGTCAATAAATGTATAAAAAAGTTATACTTTTTTTATCTTTTATAGTAAGATTAAGTTCATTTCCACCCACCAAAATGTGTTAAAAAGATATGATTAGCAATTCCATTCCATCCCTATAAATTTAGATTTGAAATACGTTTTTTTTACATATTAATTAGTAATAGCTTAATCTCATTTCCTGATTTTGATAGACTCAAAAATCATTTTAAAATTTAATAAAAAAAAAAGTTTAAAAATTTACCTAAAATCACGGCTGGCGCGCTAAAAAGAAAAACTGTCACCAAATTAATCATCTCGTGAATTGTGAGCTGAGGCGCCGCTGAAATTCGCCGTTTGTGCAAATATTGATGCGATGATGCTGGTCGTCCCTGCTGTTGGCTCTTCTTCTCCTCGGCCACTTCTGCGGCCGCAACTCGGTTCTTGAACACGATTCGCAAACTCTCCTCCTCAACTCTCAAACAATATAAATTATTGCCAGACGGTGCTCATTTCATTTGCACTGCTGCTCAATCTCACGTTCGTCGCGGCAGGTAAGACTGACCTCGCCGCCGTTAAACGTGCGCAGGCCGTTATTTGCCGATTGACGTGGGATGACCGCGCGCGCGACCTCAGCTTTGATCTTTCGGCCGCCTGCCCAAAATGCGACACAATGCAATTCAAGAGTCATTCACACCTCACTGAGAGCGTCTCGGTCCAAAAGCAAAGGCCGAAAAGTAAAATAAATCAGTGTCATTTGAATTGCTCGAGTGTCGCGATCGACGCCAGCATCAAATTGAATTCAGCTCGCTCTGCTTTAAGTTGCCAACTCAAATTCAATTGCAATTCGCTGGAAATCTTATTTTCCTTGAAGCAGAACCAGGAGCCAAATTTTAAATATAATTCTGCATCAACTGGTGTCAAAAGGACAGTAAATTTTGCGAAAACACGATGATGCCGTTTCTTCACAATTTTTATTTTTATTTATTTTTCTGATTTTCAACGGGAATTAAATCTATAAAATACTGATTTCCAAACGATTCCAAATTATATAAAGATGAAAATTTGCATTATAGCAAATAATTTTAAAAATAAACTTTTATAGAATTTGCGGATATTATTATAATTATGGTGATAAGTATTTAATTTTGTGAGAAATTTAAACATTTCATCGAATTATTTCTATGTTATATAAATCCTGGATAAAAGTAGTAGATGATGAGAGTTATGAAAGAAGAATTTCATTTTTTCTAATTTAATGCCGCGCTGAACGTTAGCGCCGCTAGCGGAGATTTAGCAAAGAAGAATCTGCGAACGCTCAATATCTAAAAATTGGCTCCAAGTATGCATGGAATAAAAATATTTTATAATAACATCCTTTAAATTATTATAAATATTGCCATGATGTTCAGTTAACTTAGAAATCTTATTTTTAATATGTAATTTGTGTTTTATATATTTAAATTTTGTTGTTTTCATTTTTCGGAGCATAAATTTACTTTAAGTACATCTAACAAAACAATGAAACTGGTGAGTAACATTATTTTATATTGTGTGCGTGAATTATCTGATGATTATACAAACATGGATTACATTCACATTCAATAATAATTTCTTTACGGATTTATTTAAGAAGACAATTATTAATTTAAAAATCAATCTAATTCACAAGAAAACAATCATTTAAGTTCAAATTTCATATTAAAAGTAAGCACCTGATCTGGCACCATTTTTAATATGTATTGCGGGACATTTCTTTTAAGAAGTCCAATAGAATTTGTATTTCAATTGCTACAAAATTGAAACTATGTGAATTTTTATGGTTTTATGCTGCGGTGCATGGAACCTTTTTGATCTCGGAAGTTTTTGCAAAATTCTTGCTAGTATCCGGTGGTTCCGTTTTGTCAAACAAAATAATTCCTTTTCTTTCCAAATAAAATGTTTTTAAACAATGTGATGCTATAATTTGGACAAATAAACAAGTGCGTACTTCATTTTACTAAAAAAAAAAAAAAACATTTAAAGTTAATATGGCATTTAAGAGAATTATTTATAATTTTTTTTTAGACAAATAAATCAAACTAAGAAGCCAACTTATATTTATTTGTTTTTCGGTACAGTCAAAAATAATAAGGTTTATAGTCAGCCTTGAGCCATTTATTTATTTATTTTTGTATTCTGCGGTGGCAATTATCTTGAATTAAAATATTCAATTCAATTTATTACGTGTATTTGTAAAACTTAAAATTTTAAGCTACTTAAAAATCCTTTGAAGCAGTTAATCTCGAATTAATTTATTGCTCATCAAATTTGTAACGTTGCCTGTGAAAGAAGGAGATAGGGAGAGGCGCAGGTGCATGAGTCACTGCAGATTTCCAAGCGTCCACCCACTCATTAGTAAAATATTTTGGTGGCGTGAGCGGCGTCGACGGGGTCTCCCTGTGCTCCTGCACATGAATCACTCTTGTTTGTTGTTTGCGTTGCGCGAAGAAAGGACCGCGCTCAGCTTTGCTTTTCTCCAAAAACTGGACAAAAAAGAGAACAGAACCGCGTTGTTTTCTTAGCCTCTCTTTTTGCGTTTATTTCTTGACTCGCTGCCGCCACCTGCGAGAAGGTTTTTCGCGCACCTGACATTACAAACCGCAAAACGCTTTCGCCCATTGTGCAATTATAAAACGAATTTCTTCAGAGTAATTCCATACGTAGCCTTCTGTAATTATTGTTGGTTCATTGAAATCCTTGGCATTTTTACGACTTGCTTTTTGCTTCAAAATCGGAAAAATGGTCACGGCGTGACCAATATCCAGCTATTAATGGTTACGGCGTCACTATTATTCAGATTAATGGTCACAACTCACCATTATTCAGATTAATGGTCACGGCTCACCATTATTCCGGTTAATGGTCACGGCGTCACCATTATTCAGATTAATGGTCACGGCTCACCATTATTCAGATTAATGGTCACGTCTAACCATTATTCCGATTAATGGTCACGGCGTCACCATTATTCCAATTAATGGTCACGGCTCACTATTATTCAGATTAATGGTCACGGCGGCACTATTATTCAGATTAATGGTCACGGCTCACCATTATTCCGATTAATGGTCACAGCTCACCATTATTCAGATTAATGGTCACGGCTCACCATAATTCAGATTAATGGTCGCGGCGTCACCATTATTCCGATTAATGGTCACGGCTCACCATTATTCAGATTAATGGTCACGGCGTCACCATTATTCAGATTAATGGTCACGGCGTCACCATTATTCAGATTAATGGTCACGGCGTCACCATTATTCCGATTAATGGTCACGGCGTCACCATTATTCAGATTAATGGTCACGGCGTCACCATTATTCCGATTAATGGTCACGGCGTCACCATTATTCAGATTAATGGTCACGGCGTCACCATTATTCCGATTAATGGTCACGGCGTCACCATTATTCCGATTAATGGTCACGGCGTCACCATTATTCCGATTAATGGTCACGGCTCACCATTATTCAGATAAATGGTCACGGCTCACCATTATTCCGATTAATGGTGACGGCTCACCATTATTCCGATTAATGGTCACGGCTCACCATTATTCAGATAAATGGTCACGGCTCACCATTATTCAGATTAATGGTCACGGCGTCACCATTATTCCGATTAATGGTCACGGCCTCACCATTATTCCGATTAATGGTCACGGCTCACCATTATTCAGATTAATGGTCACGGCTCACCATTATTCAGATTAATGGTCACGTCTAACCATTATTCCGATTAATGGTCACGGCGTCACCATTATTCAGATTAATGGTCACGGCTCACCATTATTCAGATTAATGGTCACGTCTAACCATTATTCCGATTAATGGTCACGGCGTCACCATTATTCCAATTAATGGTCACGGCTCACTATTATTCAGATTAATGGTCACGGCGGCACTATTATTCAGATTAATGGTCACGGCTCACCATTATTCCGATTAATGGTCACAGCTCACCATTATTCAGATTAATGGTCACGGCTCACCATAATTCAGATTAATGGTCGCGGCGTCACCATTATTCCGATTAATGGTCACGGCTCACCATTATTCAGATTAATGGTCACGGCGTCACCATTATTCAGATTAATGGTCACGGCGTCACCATTATTCCGATTAATGGTCACGGCGTCACCATTATTCCGATTAATGGTCACGGCGTCACCATTATTCAGATTAATGGTCACGGCGTCACCATTATTCTGATTAATGGTCACGGCGTCACCATTATTCAGATTAATGGTCACGGCGTCACCATTATTCCGATTAATGGTCACGGCGTCACCATTATTCCGATTAATGGTCACGGCGTCACCATTATTCCGATTAATGGTCATGGCTCACCATTATTCAGATAAATGGTCACGGCTCACCATTATTCCGATTAATGGTGACGGCTCACCATTATTCCGATTAATGGTCACAGCTCACCATTATTCAGATTAATGGTCACGGCTCACCATAATTCAGATTAATGGTCGCGGCGTCACCATTATTCCGATTAATGGTCACGGCTCACCATTATTCAGATTAATGGTCACGGCGTCACCATTATTCAGATTAATGGTCACGGCGTCACCATTATTCCGATTAATGGTCACGGCGTCACCATTATTCCGATTAATGGTCACGGCGTCACCATTATTCAGATTAATGGTCACGGCGTCACCATTATTCCGATTAATGGTCACGGCGTCACCATTATTCAGATTAATGGTCACGGCGTCACCATTATTCCGATTAATGGTCACGGCGTCACCATTATTCCGATTAATGGTCACGGCGTCACCATTATTCCGATTAATGGTCATGGCTCACCATTATTCAGATAAATGGTCACGGCTCACCATTATTCCGATTAATGGTGACGGCTCACCATTATTCCGATTAATGGTCACGGCTCACCATTATTCAGATAAATGGTCACGGCTCACCATTATTCAGATTAATGGTCACGGCGTCACCATTATTCCGATTAATGGTCACGGCCTCACCATTATTCCGATTAATGGTCACGGCTCACCATTATTCAGATAAATGGTCACGGCTCACCATTATTCAGATTAATGGTCACGGCGTCACCATTATTCCGATTAATGGTCACGGCCTCACCATTATTCCGATTAATGGTCACGGCTCACCATTATTCAGATTAATGGTCACGGCTCACCATTATTCAGATTAATGGTCACGTCTAACCATTATTCCGATTAATGGTCACGGCGTCACCATTATTCAGATTAATGGTCACGGCTCACCATTATTCCGGTTAATGGTCACGGCGTCACCATTATTCAGATTAATGGTCACGGCTCACCATTATTCAGATTAATGGTCACGTCTCACCATTATTCCGATTAATGGTCACGGCGTCACCATTATTCCAATTAATGGTCACGGCTCACTATTATTCAGATTAATGGTCACGGCGGCACTATTATTCAGATTAATGGTCACGGCTCACCATTATTCCGATTAATGGTCACAGCTCACCATTATTCAGATTAATG